TAGTTAATATTAAAAAAAGATTAAATTAATAATTCGGTATTATTTTTTGAAGTCTCCTGAACGGAAGCAGAGGTTACTGATCTAAAAATATATATGTATTTTCTATCATCGCTACGAAAAATTGTTTTTCCCAATATAATATACGTGTAAAACTTTGAGCGCTTTGAGCGACCTCAAAATATTTTTTGATTTCAATATAAAAAGCTGGTGCATATTTTTTTCGGTATAGAACTTAGTCAATTAATTCATTTTCATTAAGGTTTTTATTTTGAAGACGGTAGCCGAGTAAAGTCTCCACTTTCAAATCAAAACAAGAACTTTCATTGCATCTAATTAAGTCCTTTGTTTGTATTAATGCGGCGCATGTGCCTAGCGCCAGTTTATTTCTACACTTTGTTTTAACTAGGTTCTGAATTTAAAAAATTCTCTCAATACAAGCAGAGGAGTGTGGTAAAGCAAGCAAACCCTGAACAACGCGAAATATATTTGAAAATACTGGCTGATTTAGTTCATTTTTTATTCTGCCGACTACAGTCCAAAATTCAGATACAGGAAGGTTTTCGATTTTTTTAATTTCTGCATAATCGGCCAATGCTCGATACTCGGTGTTAATTTGTTCAGCTTTTTTAAATTCAGTTTCGGGAAACAATTTTAAAATCAGTGGTAAAATGCTATTAATATTACCAGATAGTGCTTCCTTCGGCGCAATTGACGGTAAGAGTTTTAAAATTTCATTATTAAAATCTATTATTTTCTTAAATCATCGCAAAATTTAATATAAAATTTCAAAATGTTATTTTTAAATTGAAAAATTTCCGATGCTGTTAGGTTTTGGTCAGTGTAAAACAGTTCAGTTTCCGTTCCACAAAAAATGTTTTCAATAGGTATGTGTGGTTGGCTAAATTCAATGAATATATTGAATTGGTACAAATATTTTCTTTCGCTATAAAATTGCGGCATATTTGATTAAAAAGAAATGTCAAGCGGGGATATAAAACATGAATGTGTGACTCTTCCGCTTGCATTTCTATGTTAACAGTGTTTATAACTTTAAGAACGTACGACAAGAAATAGAAGTACAGTTTTATATTAGAATCTGAAAGGGTACTTGCAATAAACTTATTACTTTCATTGCCAAATCCTGCTTCGAAATTGCATAAACCGAAGTAGTATTGTAAAGTACTCCACTGCTCCAATATCCGTTCAACTACAATCTGAAATCATAATGTAATACTTCAAATAAAAAAATGTATTGAACAACTATTATTAAAAAGAAAATTTACCTGCCGCGAAAGCCATCGTGTTGAACTAAATCGCAAAATCTTATGAACCGCACTTCCAAAATCTTCTTGAAAATTTTCAAACTCTATTTTTCTACTAGCGCTATGACAGAAGTGGTGATTTATAGAGCGAATTAACTTTTCTATTTCTTGTGGAAGAACTGATGCAGCTGCCTCGGACGATAGATTA